AACAGCAAGAGCTGGAGGAGGAGAACCTGCTGGAGGGTGAGATATAATAATAATATAATGTAATATATAATAACAGCAAGAGCTGGAGGAGGAGAACCTGCTGGAGGGTGAGATATAATAACAATAATAATAATAATAATAATATAATGTGATATATAATAATAATAATAATAATAATGTAATATATAATAATAATATAATGTAATATATAATAATAATAATAATATAATGTAATATATAATAACAGCAAGAGCTGGAGGAGGAGAACCTGCTGGAGGGTGAGATATAATAATAATATATAATAATATAATATAATGTGATATATAATAATATAATGTAATATATAATAATAATAATAATAATATAATGTGATATATAATAACAGCAAGAGCTGGAGGGTGAGATATAATAATAATAATAATAATAATAATAATAATATAATGTAATATATAATAACAGCAAGAGCTGGAGGAGGAGAACCTGCTGGAGGGTGAGATATAATAATAATAATAATTAATAATATAATGTAATATATAACAACAGCAAGAGCTGGAGGAGGAGAACCTGCTGGAGGGTGAGATATAATAATAATAATAATAATAATATAATGTGATATATAATAACAGCAAGAGCTGGAGGAGGAGAACCTGCTGGAGGGTGAGATATAATAATAATAATAATATAATATATAATAACAGCAAGAGCTGGAGGGTGAGATATAATAATAATAATAATAATAATAATAATAATATAATGTGATATATAATAACAGCAAGAGCTGGAGGAGGAGAACCTGCTGGAGGGTGAGATATAATAATAATAATAATAATATAATGTAATATATAATAACAGCAAGAGCTGGAGGAGGAGAACCTGCTGGAGGGTGAGATATAATAATAATAATAATAATATAATGTAATATATAATAGCAAGAGCTGGAGGAGGAGAACCTGCTGGAGGGTGAGATATAATAATAATAATAATAATAATATAATGTGATATATAATAACAGCAAGAGCTGGAGGAGGAGAACCTGCTGGAGGGTGAGATATAATAATAATAATAATAATAATAATAATATAATGTAATATATAATAACAGCAAGAGCTGGAGGAGGAGAACCTGCTGGAGGGTGAGATATAATAATAATAATAATAATAATATAATGTAATATATAATAACAGCAAGAGCTAGAGGAGGAGAACCTGCTGGAGGGTTATTTACTAGGACTGAGGATTTACAGGGACACTATAGTCACCAAAAGAAGCTTAATGAAACAGTTTTGGTGTATAGATCATGCCCCTGCAGTTTCATTGCTCAATTATCTGCCAATTAATAGCTAAATTGACTTTGTTTATAAAGCCCTGGTCGCACCTCCTTGCATGTGACTTACACAGCCTCCTTAAATACTTTCTGTAAAGATTCATCTAATGTTTACACTTCCTTTATTGCAAATTCTGTTTAAATTATAATTTCTTATCTCCTCTGTTAATAGCCTGCTAGACCCTACATGAGCCTCCTATGTCTGCTCAAGTTCAATTTACAGAGCAAGAGATAACTTGCATCTGATTAAAAATTAAAACATTTTGTTTTCATGCAGGCTGTGTGAGTCACAGCCAAGGATGTGTGGTTAGTGTTGTATAAACAGAAACAAAAGTGATTTAACTCCTAAATGGCAGTGAATTGAGCAGTGAAACTTCAGGGACATGATCTATACACAAAAACTGCTTCATTTAAGCTAAAGTTGTGTTGGTGACTATAGTGTTCCTTTAAAGTGAATTTCAAATTTAAAGGAACACTATAGCGTCAGGAACACAATCATGTATTCCTGACCCTATTGTGTTAAAAACACCATCTTGCCCCCCCCACACCTTAATATAGTAAAATCTTACCTTAATTCCAGTCTGCTGCTGCTGGCTCTGCCCCTGATCTGCATTGGCTTACATAATCAGAAGTGATGATCTGAGCAAATCACAGTGCTTTCACATAGGGAAGCATTGGATTCACTGAGCTTGTCAAGTGGGTAGAGCCGGCACAAGCCAAAAACACAGCTTCTCATAAAGATGCATTAATTCAGTGTATTTCTATAAGGAAAGTTCTGTGTGTCCATGTAGAACAGGGGTCCTCAACCAGTCCTCAAAGACCTCCTACCAGTCCAGGATTTAGTGATTACCCTGTTGTGTCTAAAGTCTTTGTGTCCCCCCCACTTCTCCCCCCCCCAAAAAAAAAAACACACTAGACACAGCAGGGAAATCCCTAAATCCTGGACAGTTCGGGGGTCCTTGAGAACTCGGT